GCCTCCTTGTTTGCAAAGGATTATTGCGACGGCGCGCGCGCAAAGGCGCTCGAACAATTTCGACGCGTGCGCGCAAAGCCCGTTCGGTAGCATTGTCTGAAAATGATGAAACGCAAATGTTTTTTCAATTCGAAAGAGAACGCGCGCAAGTTTGTTTAAAATCCTCGTTGCGAAAACTTGTGCTGCCATGCGTTTTCGCGACACTCGATTTTAAAATCACTGCGACATCTAACGTTCACAAAATATTGCGGCACGTGCGCGCGACGACGCGCAAGGGGTTCTTGAAAACTGATGATTTGTGATAACCAAACGCGCGCATGATCTCATGCGCAGCGGATGGCGGGGGGGCGGATACCGGCTCGCCAGGGATGGTACGGATTCATATTTCCGGTGGACGATGGGGCAGAATCACACGCAACATGAAAATTCGCACAGGGGAGTGGATAATCCCAGGGGGATAGAGTCTACCCTCTTCTTAAAACGGAGAACGAATACCTGTTCGCAATGAGTTGCCCACTCCACTGCTCGCGCAAACATCCCACTCAACCAACCGCCACTTAGTTCGCAGAACCCATGCGGCCGCGATTGCAATGAGTCTTGGCGCTGGCTGAGGCATCATCTGCGGCCACGCCAGCCCGCGCATGCGCGCACGCAGCGGCCGCCTAGCTTGGCGCGACCGACGCGGCCGCGGCGGCGCTGACCGCTGGGCACATCCCAGCGGGAACTTCAGCACGTAGCGACGCTGGTGGCGATGCTGAGAGCGACGACGGCGCGGCCAGCGACGGCGCCGAAGCCGATCACGCCGACAACGACGACGGCGCCCTCGCGTCGGCGATGAGGGTTTTGGAAGGAGTTCGACATGCGCGCGCGGCCGACGCGCGAAGGTGGCTGCGCGGTATTTTTTGGCACGGATGGCGCCCCCCCCCCTCCCAGCACGCGCGCACAGGCGTTCAACTGATGTCGGCATGCGTCAAGAGAGGCCCGCCCGTTTAGTAGAATTTCATGTAAACGTTGAAAAACCTATGGCGGCCCGAAGACTTTGCCATCTACGCGGCGTTTCTTTTGTTTATTTGTTTCAAACGAGTTGACAAAATCCATGCTCTTTCAAACATCCCACCCACCCGCAATTTGGTTTGCAAAACCCTAGCGGCGGCGATTGCGATGAGTGCTTGGCGTTGGCTGATGTTTCTCTGCGGCCGCGCAAGCCCGCGCATGCTCGCGCGCACAGCGGCCGGCTAGTTTGGCGCGACCTACGCGGCGCGGGCGCTTCAGCGCGAGTAGGTGACTTGGGCGGGCGCGGCATCGTGGCACGGCAATGCCAATGACGGCGCAGACGTTGATCACGCCCGCCTAAAACGATGACGCTGCCCTCGCGTCGGCGATGAATGTTTTTGAACGAGTTCGACATGTTTTTGAACGAGTTCGGCGCGATTGGCCCGCGTGGCATGATTCGACACGGATCGCGCCCCGCCGCCCCCACAGCACGCACGCCAAGGCGTTCGAATGAAATCGACATGCGGCGCGAGAGGGCCAGTTGGCAGAATGTAATGGAAATGTTGGAAATCGATGGTTTCATAAGATTTTGCAAGAGCGCACGCGCAAAAGTTCTGTTGAAAAACTGATGTGGCAAAACCGCGTTTTCGGCACACTCGGTTTTGAAATCCTTATGGAAAACAAAGGTTTGTCAAGGATTTCGCCACGCGAGCGCGCGCCGACGCGCGCGCGCACTTCCTCCCATCTGTTGCAAGGGGTCTTTGCGACAGCACGCACACAAGGGCGTTCGAACGATTGTGGCACGCGCGCGCGAGAAGCCAATTTGAAGGCATTCTCTGAAAGTGTGGTCGGAAGTTCTTGTTGTAAAACCATGTGATTTGTCTTCGTGATACTCTATTTGGAACCCTTAAGAAACCTAATATTTGTTCGACGACGACAACAACGCCGACGCCGACGACGACGAAGACAACGACGACGTCGCCAACGAAGACGACGACGAGGGAGGAGGAAGGACGACGACGGCGACAACGACGACAACGACGACAACGACGAGAGAGGAGGGAGGACGGCGACGACGCGAACGACGAAGGAGGAAGGACGGCGACGCCGACGACGACAACGACGAGGGAGGAGGGAAGACGACGACGACAACGACGACGACGACGACGCACGGCGACGAAATAGGAGGGACGACGGATCGAGACGCCGTCGGACGCAGAACTCTACGACTATCACGAAATCACAGATAACAAGGGGAGGGAGGAGGAGGAAGGACGACCACGGCGACAACGACGACGGAAACGACCACGACGCTTAGAGGACGACGACGACGAACACGAGGAAAGACAGAGGTCGACGTAGGCGACGACGACGACGACGAGGGATGAGGGATGACGACGACGACGACGACGACGACGACACAAGAGCGCGCGCGCACGCTTTTGTTGAAAATCCGTGTTGCGAAACCTTGTGTTTTTGTAGGTTTTTTGGAGACGCGATTTTGAAATCCTTCCGAAACCGATGGGTTTTGAAGGTTTTCGGCATACGCCCGCGACGACGCGCGCGTCTGCACTTCGTCCCTTTTTTTGCAGAGGATTCTCGCGACGGCACACGCGCAAGGGCGTTCGACAGATTTCGACATGCGCGCGCGAAGCCCATTTAATAGCATTTTGTGAAAATCTTGAAAAATTCATGGTTTTCTTAAGATGTCGCAAGAGCTCGCGCGGAAGCTTTTTTAGCAAATCAGTGTTGCGAAACCCTGTGTTTTTGAATGTTCTTTGGAAACTCGATTGCGAAATCCTTCCGGCATCAAAGGTTTTTGAAGGATTTCGGCATGCGCGCGCGACGACGCGCGCGTGCACTTCGTCAATTTGTTTGCAAGGGATTCGCGAAAAAGTGCTATGTTACATCAAAAGATGTCACCGCATAGTGTTTTTTACAAGGGAACCTCAGGGGGGGGGAACCCGGCTGGTCTGGGATAGTGTAAATTCATGTTCAGGATGGACATGTGGCCAGAATCATATATCATTTACATATCCGAAAGGGGGGCCGATAACGCCGGGGGGGGGAGATCCTATTCTGTTTTTAGAAAGGAGAATATATTGTGCAATATATGTGGCTGGTGCAATATATGTCGTGCAGTCTACGCTGTGCAATATACGTGGTGCAAAAAAATGGAGCAAGCAACGTGGTGCAATGAATGTGGTTGGCGGCGACGAAGCGGCAACGAGGCGGCGACGGGGCGGCGACGGCCGCCACATTGCCGCCCAACCGGCCACACGGCCCAGACGACGGGCGGCGACGAGGCGGCGACGGGGCGGCGACGGCGACAACATAGCCGCCAGACTGGCCACACGGCTCAGACGACTGGCGGCAACGAGGCGGCGACGGGGCGGCGACGGCAGCCACATAGCCGCCAGACGAAAGACATTGCCCAGTTCCCTAGAACAAAGTAACAAGCCCTAAGTGCAAGCACTGTTTGGGGAAAAATCTTGCGTGTTAGGAAACCAATGGCTGTTGAATGGTTTTGACATGCGCGCGCGGGGGCGCACGCATTGGTGACAAGCATGGTAATGCGTGGCAGGAATTATCATGAAAAGCGTTTTTGCATCAACGCATGTGCATCGCACCGCGATACATTTGTTGCACGAGATGGCGGGGGGGGGCGATGCCGGCTGGGATGCTGTTTGACAACTAGGATGCGCGATCGTGCAGAAAGACGATTAAAACATAGCATGCAGAGGGAGACCGATAAGTTCGAGGGGGACAGGGAAAAGAGGGGGAGAGTCAAAATCCTGCTGGGAGGAGGAAACATTGTGGTGCAAGCATCGGGATGGCGACGGAAAGGCAAAAGGACTGCAACTAGCTAGCGCTCACGAGCCGAAGATGCGAGATCGGCGTTTGTCAACGGCGCGGCACCAGGGCGGCAACGAAGCCGCAACGGGGCGGCCACGGGGCCACAATGGGGCGCCCTCAAGCCAGAACTCCCTAACTCGCGCCCAGATCCTTGCAAGCGACAGCAGAACCCCTTGGTGCAAGCAACGTGTGGGCAGAGCCCGAGCTCAGTCCGCCTCACTGCCCGTGTCCTCGTGTCGCCTCCCACCAGACCGTCTGGCCGCCGGCTGGCCACCCTGCGCAAGGCACTGTATCAACCAGCAAGAGACCCTGGCCAGAGCCCGGGCTCCGTAACTAGAACCGATGGACTCACCCGCATCCACGCTGTTTTCTAACCTTGCCAGGATGTGTCCGCTTGCAGGCTTTGGGAGGCAGCTTTAGGCTTGAAGGGGGAACCAGCTCGGGGGCGGGAAACAAAGACCTGCCATCGACGACGCATCGCCGAGAACTCGGCGATTGGCCCTCGATGGAGGAACCGCACAATCCTGGGCGGGGTGGGCCATAGGGCCCTTCTTGGCGATGAATGGGGGTCTGGGGGTCGATGCATCCCCCCTCTGAGCGTATGT